AGGTGAACTAAGCTAGGTGTGTAATCGTCAGGTGAACTGGGTTGTGTAATCCTCAGGTGAACTAAGCTAGGGTGTGTAATCCTCAGGTGAACTAAGCTAGGGTGTGTAATCCTCAGGTGAACTAAGCTAGGGTGTGTAATCCTCAGGTGAACTAAGCTAGGGTGTGTAATCCTCAGGTGAACTAAGCTAGGGTGTGTAATCCTCAGGTGAACTAAGCTAAGGTGTGTAATCCTCAGGTGATCCGATAAAATTAGAGTATAGTTTCCATAAGACTCACAAAAACTTTAACTTTTTATCTCCTAACTAGTGTGAAGTTAAGGTTGCTAGTTGAAGATACATTTAGTGACATTAGTGAATTTTGATGCTATTTTTAGTTACAGTCAAATAGTTAGATACATTCACATATCTTAACTTACGAGAAAATATTCACCGTGCGACCCTTTGTGAATCCAGAGGCCCCGGGAGCTAACTGTGAACTGTACCTGCCACTCGTCCACCGTGAAATTTTGAATAAACTTTGCAAACATAAGCAGAGGTTAATATAGCGAACTATGGCAGGTTAACAGAATTAATTTAACATGGCCAACTGTGGGAGGTTAACAGAATCATTTTAATATCGTGAACTTTGAGAGGTTAACAGAATAATTTTAATATAACGAACTATGGCAGGTTAACAGAATCAGTTTAACATAGCGAACTGTGAGAGGTTAACAGAAACATTTTAACATAGCGAACTATGGGAGGTTAACAGAATTAATTTAACATAGCGAACTGTGAGAGGTTAACAGAATCAGTTTAACATAGCGAACTGTGGGAGGTTAACATAATTAATTTAACATAGCGAACTGTGAGAGGTTAACTGAATCATTTTAACATAGCGAACTGTGGGAGGTTAACAGAATTAATTTAACATAGCGAACTGTGAGAGGTTAACTGAATCATTTTAACATAGCGAACTGTGGGAGGTTAACAGAATTAATTTAACATAGCGAACTGTGGGAGGTTAACAGATTTAATTTAACATAGCGAACTGTGAGAGGTTAACAGAATTAATTTAACATAGCGAACTGTGAGAGGTTAACATAATTAATTTAACATAGCGAACTGTGGGAGGTTAACAGAATTAATTTAACATAGCGAACTGTGGGAGGTTAACAGAATTATTTTAGCATAGCGAACTGTGGGAGGTTAACATAAGGGTTATTGCTTAAACCATCGTCACCAAAGATGATAACTTAAATCATCGTCTTCAAAGGGAAATAACTTAAACCATCGTCTTCAAAGAGTAATAACTTAAACCATCGTCTTCAAAGAGTAATAACTTAAACCATCGTCCTCAAAGGGCAATAACTTAAACCATCGTCCTCAAAGATAACTTAAACCATCGTCTTCAAAGGGTAATAACTTAAACCATCGTCCTCAAAGGGTAATAACTTAAACCATCGTCCTCAAAGGGTTATAAATTAAACCATCGTCCTCAGAGAATTAACAACTGTATGTAACACTGTTGAAAATAAGTTAATTTTATCCTTACATTCGACCGTTTCTATGTTCAGTTCACACAGGTGGTCCCCGCGCATTTAATATCCCTTAACCTATTATAATGATAACAGTCTGGTCCTTGGCAGAGTTTGGAGGACGGGAGACAGAAGGGAGACGAGGAGGGAAGGAGAATGGAGGGGGGAGGGAGAGAGAAGGTAAATATATATGGATCTTGTTTCCTCTTCAAACAGTTGATCATACACACACACACACACACACACACACACACACACACACACACGCACGCACACACACACATTATCCCCCTGCACACACGTCCACAACTTCCATTTAGGACACACCTCGCCCACGACCCTCTGGCTAAATCTAATACAACCAGCTAAAAAATACTGTCGTTTTTTCCCTTCTACTGCAGTTTAAAACACAAGATTTTCTGAAGTTATTTTAAGGTTTTCTTGGGGGAAGGTAATAAAAAAAAATATAAGGATTATTTGGCGTTTGCACACACACACACACACACACACTACTACTACTACTACTACTACTTTCCTGTCACTTGGAATCGAGTAGGACGATCATCCAGCTATGATACAATGAGATGAGTTAATAAGGATGTCGCCTATGTTGGTGAGTTCTGAGGTGACTAAGAGGCAGATACGGGACCAGCAGGGTCGTTCACTGAGGTTGCACATGTGGAGGGCTACATCTAGTGCAGAAGGGACGACGGCAGCGTCTTTCCGGCTTTAGAGCTTGTCTGCCTCGGTATGCAGTCGGGCTAACTCGAAGTATTGACACCTTCTTGTGTGGTGATCCTCCAAGCGTTACGGTGTAGAGAAATCGTCTCCCAGGTGAGGTGGTCGATTTGGCACTTTTTCATGTTTGTCTTAAGACTATCCTTATACCTTTTCAGATGCCCGCCGCCGTTACGTTTACTATTCGTTAGGTGACTGTAAAGTAGCTGCTTTGGCGGTCTACTGTCGCCCATTCGGGTAACATGGCCAGTCCAGCGTAGTTCATGGATAATGGTAGTCTCAATGCTCCTACAGTTGGGGTCAGCGAGAATCCTGGCACACACACACACACACACACACACACACACACACACACACACACACACATTGCATATTTCGTATTCCGAGAGTATAGAATAAAATCACATGTCGTGTTCATAAGGCACTATACTGTATATTTACACACTACACCCGACCACTACCAGAGCAGCACATCAACACTCTCTGGCATTTAACATGGCAGCTTACTAGTATACTGAACCAGGAAATATCAGTCAGCTTTTATTTACGTCGGTGAGCAAACTTATAAAAAAAATATATCAAAAGTTACGAGGCAAACACAGCCATAAAACTTATATTTACCCTCCTCATAAAATAATGACAATATGGCACCCAATCAACATTCAATTTTACATTATCCATTAAATAATTGACATGTACGCTTATTAAATGTCTATTCTAACGTCGAGTGTGACCTTGTTCAGTAATCCATTCATGAACGCTGCCACTTTTATATAAAATAGATAAACAAAACCAAAAAAAAAACTATTCACAGCTTCAACATTGATCAGTCATTACGGAGGTTAAACACAGTGCGATCCCATATCACTGTCTAGAACTATTACCACTCACTCACCTGTCAAGAACTACCACTCTCACTCACATGTCAAGAACTACCACTCTCACTCACCTATCAAGAACTACCACTCACTCACCAATCAAGAACTACCACTCACTCACCTATCAAGAACTACCACTCACTCACCTACCAAAAACTACCACCCACTCACCTAGCAAGAACTACCACTCACTCACCTATCAAGAACTACCACTTGCCTACCACATACTACCGCTTCCGTACCAGTTATTACAACATACATACTAAGCACTAACACCTACTTACATTATTCTACACATGTTACCATACAACCAAGCACGTACTAACACATACCAACCAAATACCACCACACCACCACACCACCATATACCAATAAAGTATACTGCCGGCTACTTGTGAGTACTTATCAATAGAATTATCAATGTGTCAACAGCGAATATGGGAAACTGAAAGAAAAGGGAAAATGTCAATAATTTTAGCAGACAAGAGCTGGACGCTTGAGATGACTCGTATCAATAGAGTGTGAAGACGCTACTGGCGAACTCCACCACACAGATGGTCAATGGCAGCTCTTTCATCTTAGAACAAATTTATATTCCACATCACTGTCTATCTCTCTGCCCGTATGAGAAACATGTATGATGTATAAGGACTCACTTGAGCTATGGCAGAACTTGCATTATTTATCACAAGGTTCTTCCTCATGTAAACAACTTGATACATACCAGGACACATACGCCAAACTTTCGCTTTACCGTGTGTCATTAATCTAATTAATTTACGTATTCCTTGCGCTGTGCGGCGGTATTAAAGACTCTTGTAATAGTGCTACATTGTAACAACTACCATGACAAGGTTAATATACCCTGTAGCACGACAAACACCATCATCTAAACGGCGTCAAATACGAAACACGGCCAAAAAATTAAAAATAAAACATACAATTGCATTCGCGATTTCGTGATTACTAAATCCATTTGCACATATGAATAAAAATAGTCTTTCAAACAGAATGACAGTCCATATCACCTGAATACTTTAGTCCACAATCAAATTCAGGTTATATCTGTACGGAAATGGTGGACAAAATATAGTTGGTTAAAACAGTAGGCCTAAAAAGAATTATAAGTCCAACAACACTGTGCACAATATCTCATGTCATTGGCTGAACCACAGTTTGATAGGGTAAATAACATTCCAGAATTTGTATTTCAACTACAAATATCTACCCACAAAATCTTCGGCTACTGTAGTTTCATTCATTGAGACGGTAAAACTTGGAGAACACTGCGACTTACACGACGCCCCCCACGCTCCACAGATCAATTGATGCTGGCGTCTCATCTCCTCATTTATGTATTGATTCCCTGGTACAAACTACTGTTATCCACTTACCATCGGCCAAGTTCCGGTAGAGAGTTGTTAATAGTGCTAAGACAGCATCCACCGGCGTTATCACTATCCTCATGGTTATATTCTATTGTGATCCTCCTACCCACACCTCTCTCTGCCATTTTTAAAGCTCGTCTGCCTCAACTTCGCGCAGATTTGGGAGTTTTGATTGGCGCAGTTGGGGTCACGTGACGTAGTGGCAGCGGGAAAATCGGACCTCAGACTGCGCACAACACTCGGCGCAGACAATGTAAACACCCCCTGGAGTAGCGCACGTCTCCAATACTATCTTTAATTCTTCTAAATATTTTACTCCCGCTCTATATAAATTAATTTAGCCATTATAAATACATAAAAATATTCATGTATTTTTTTCTAGATTATGTGTATTTTTAAATATGTTGTTTTGTTAATAATATCTTGGATTATTATTTTCAGTCCTGAGATGAGACATTATTGGAATGTTTACAGTCAGCTGAGGAGTAAAAACAAACCAAAGTCAAGAGAAATTTCGACACCCATTTACGTGTTATATTAGTGTAAATTTACGTATATTACTCAAACTTAATCAGTCATGGTTGAACCAATCTTTGACTATCAGTTCCGATTAATACTAATAGGAGATTCAACTGTGGGGAAGAGTTCTTTGTTAAAATATTTCACAGACGGCAAGTTCTTTGAGGTAAGACATGACATAGAAATTACGTAGGATTTACTCTGAGGTATGAGTCACAGTGCATAATATCTGTGATCATATTATCGTCCTAACAAGATTTACATGAGAAAGTAGAGACACGGTGCCTCCACGGAATAAAAAAGAGAAGGGTAAATTCTAAAGAGAAACAAGTTCACGGGACAGTGATTATGGTGTAATCACGACTGTCATAGTTACACACAATCAACAAGTGCCTATTTTCCACAGCTTCAAACAATCAGTAAATATTAAGGGGATGGCTGCCACTTTATTTTAGTTATATTTCATAATTTTACGGGAACTTTAATGATGTGTTTCTTTTAATGCAAGTCCAATGTGAATACTAAGAAATGAGCTTAGACAAATAATGTTTAAAAGTTTACTTGGAAGCATCATGATCCTGTTGGCAATGTTTCCAGAAAAAAGGAAGTATGGCTGAACTATGAATGATGGCAGAACGCACAAACCAACCCTAATCAGTTGATGTTTTACTTTTTTACTTTTATCCTCTTTGCCACTAATTGGCTCGTTAGTCACTTGGGTGGTCGGTCACGTCTCTGTTACGCACTGTTGGCAAGCACTGGGCATGCAGTGGCTCCTGAATGTACCTGAACCTGCTCCAGTGTTGGTCAAGTCTTGTCTTGAAAGAGCTCACACTCGGTGCCGTCACAACACTCTCTGGCAGATTGTTCCAAGAGTTTACAACCCTCACTCCGAAAAAGTTCGCCCTCACACTTCTCTGGATTTGTGGCTTCTTCAACCTTGAACTGTGACCCCTTGTGAGGTGGGTGTCCACCAGCTCCAGGTATGGACACTACTGAGTAGTGCCCTCTGAGATGTTTATACACCTCAATTAGGTCGCCCCTTGCCCGTCTGTAGTATAAGCTAGGCAGTTGCAAGTGCTCTAAAATCTCATGGTAACTGAAGTGCTGTAGTGTGTGCACCAGTCTGGTGGCCCTCCTTTGGACGTTTTCAATCAACTGACAGTCTCTAGCATATCTCGGAGACCAGACGGGGCGACAGTACTCCAGATGGGGAAGCACCTCACTCTTGAAGATCGTTACGAAGGACAACCTAATTATAAGACCTACTAGTTTAGTTGCTTGATTCACCCTTTCACAGAGGTCCGAGAACTTCAGTTCATTATTACACACATTTGGTCTCTATTGATGCAGTTTCTTCTTCCCTTTGGGACATATGATATGCCTCCTTACTGTTGGTATGACCTAGGTGCATCCTCTTTCACTTGAGGTTTTGTGGAAATTATTAAATTATTAGTTTGGCAGTTTTGTCCAAAATAGTTTGGTTAGGTTCTTAGATATTCATTCCACTGTACTGTATCTTCTTAAATACTGTATTAATTGATCTCTCTTACCCAAAGGTTTGCTAGTTAGCATATTCTCAACAATATTTTCTTATTACAGATATCTGACCCCACTGTTGGCGTTGACTTCTTTGCTCGACTTATTGAAGTGAGAGACGGCACAAGAATAAAATTGCAATTATGGGACACAGCTGGCCAAGAGAGATTTAGGTAATGGAGTTTTAATATACTGTACTGTACTGATTATCTTGTCTTGTGTGTAACAATTTTTAACTTATAATTTTAGAAAGTTTTATTAATCTTTCAGTAATTACTGTTTATGCTTACATACATCCCTTGTCATGATGTTTAATAGAGAATCTTTAATTACTGTATAAGGTACTGTCAATTTTCAACCACAGAAATATTACAGTACAGTTGTTAGAAATTTGATAAAATCTCACAAAAGTTTGTCAAATGATCATTAGAAGTCATTTTATACTAATAGTTTGATAATTTAGAAAAATATTTTATATTAATACCGTACTGTAATGTCAATTAATTTAAACTTTGTTTTAACTCATAAGTATGACTGAAAAAAGTTGTACTTGCAGGTCCATCACACGTACTTATTATCGAAATTCTGTGGGAGCATTAGTAGTGTTTGATGTATGCAACAAAAAATCTCTGGAGCACGTTCCCATGTGGATTATGGAAGCCAAGCGACACATCGAACCTCACAAATCTGTATTTATCCTCGTTGGTACAAAGGTGTGGATAATTTTGTATGTTTTTTTATAATATTCATAGAAGACTGCAGGTAAGAGCCATTGAAGAGACTTTGCTCAATTTCCTTGATTCTAGTCACTTTGCATTTATGAGAACAGTAATTTTTTTTTTATTTCTACTTTTGGGGCATATACTGTTCCTGGTTTATGCTCAGCCTAGTTCTCATTTTATTAGTACAAACACTGGAATCACATTAATATAAATTGTTTGGAGCCAAAGAGAATAGATCGCTGAAGCTTTTGAATTACAGGTATTTAGAGAATACTTATTCCAGTTTCAAAATGCAGTAATCTCCACATTGGCCAGAACAATTGGTGCAGACCTGTACTCACCAGCATATGCTGTTGTCTGGAGCTTCTGATGTAGGCAGGCCAAATGATGTTATGCTGAGACTGGATGGCCTGCCTTTATCTTGTACAGTACCATCTACTGTAGTAGTAGCTAATCATGGCATATGAGTACTCGGAGCCTACCCATCCATGCGCTCAGCACGTGTCAGCGCATAATGCAATTTCTTGGACATTCATTTGAATGATTGGAACAAAGAGATTTTTCTCGTAATGCAAATTTTTTTTCCGGGTAATGAAAAGTTCCTGGGATCGAAGATTCTGGCTGACGGGGAGATTACTACAGACAGTACAGTATCCGTCGTTTAATGTTAATTAATTTTAGCGACTTTTTTTTTACATCCCTTCTCGCTTAACGTTAGGTCAAAATTTGGCTTAACAATAGCTTGACACACTGGGAAAGGGAGAAACTGAAGATGAGGTGGCCTAAGATGGAAGGTTACCATTGTTACATGTAATGAAACTATAAAGTTGTGGTAAAATCATTACAATACGCTCATGTGGCTGAGAAATAAATAAAATATAATATAAAACTATAAAATAAGAAAAGGGGAAAGTATGTGTGAGAAATGAACGTATGTGTGGAGGCAGTGGGCTGTAACTGTGTTGCCGACTTGCCAGACCAGCTGCGCTCCTGCCCCCGATGTGACATCACGGCATACACACATCACAGTAGACACACACACGTGTCCCAGTCAGCTAGGTGACTGCCCAGCTGAGTGTGGAAGGAGCTATTTTTTTTTACATAAAATATATGCTATTGTATTTTATTATGTGCTGTGTATTAGATTTATTGTCTATCATAGCATTTTTTTTTCTGTATGCAATTTGAAATTTGTTTGAATTAAACTCACCATGTGCTCACCAATAGTTTAACCCTGAACCACATCATTTATATAGAAGTTTGGTGTTAATACATAAATCTTTTAACTTCGAAACTGTGTATAACCAACTCGTTTATTATTATTATTAGGGAGTACTGTACAGTACTCAGTGTTTACTGCACTGCAGAGTTGTATAAAGTACAGGACTTTGTTACTTAAATAAGAGTACAGTATTGTTACACTGGCAAAATGTTACTCGAGTAGAAGTAAAAGTATCCAAAGTTCAATGTACTCAGTACAAGTAAAAAGGTATCTCATTCATAAAGTACTCAAGTATTGAAAGTAAAAAGTAACAACAAAACTATTAATTGCCTCAAATATTAAAATAAATCCACAGTAAATTATATAAAAAAATTAGTTAACTAAAGACAAACACAAAATACACTAGCTTTACAAATGTTTATTTACAAATCTTTCTGTTGAGATTAATCACTAACTGATTCTCATAAGTATGGCTGTCCAATCAGGATCGATCTTTTAGGCCTAAATATAAACCCAGCATGATACCGAAAGAGAATTTGTTCAGCCGCTCTTCTCTCGCAGGGATAGTGAACAGGCTGAAAGTACATCCATCCAACACTATGATCACTTTCTTCCTTATCCACACAAGTATTGTCGACATGGACTTATGGTCCGCAGACATAATGTTGTCGCTGCTTGCATTAGGTTAGGATACAGACCTATCTGGCAAGTATCTGAGGTGGGGGATGACCCACACTCCTTTTCCTGTAAACTCTGTAATTGTTCCAATGTTAACACCCTTCAACACTATTGCCTTGACTGTCCCACTGTCAAGTACCTCCTACCTCACGACGAGTCACTAACCACTATATGTCACCACCTATTTATACATAATAATCTAGAAATAATTCTTGTACACTACCGACGCTTTGGAGGGTGCTACCTCCTAGTGTCCTCAACTCACATCAATGTCCCCATAACACAAGTCATAGTGTGTCCTGCAAGACACGAGTACCACTATTAGTGTCTGACCATATAGTCTTGTGACTAGGCTTGTTGGCCCCTGGGGTGTAATAAATTAATTAAATAATAAGCCCAGCATGACTAAAAAAAACACTCACAAGCGTTATATTGATTTTGCCGCTTACAGCGGCTACTTTATTGTGCACCCCATACCTATCCTGTGAGCGGTAGCGCAAAAGGATTACAGATTAGAGTTTACAATATGTCATAATAATTAACCCCCGTTGTCAGGATATTATGGCACTGAATGTTACACAGTATTTCAATTACATTATTTGTTTAGTTCTATTCATAAAGGGTGAGTACAGGCGTGTGAGGCAGTATGTCTGGCCGCACACTTTGTTATTCACATTTGCGTGAGAAGTATTCAAGCACATAGTGTATTTGGTTCTGTACACGAGAACTGATAAAGTTACTAAGTGCAAAAAAGTGGATACAATCTTAATATGTCGGCTATCTTCCCATTAGAGATGAAGTGTTGTGCCATTTCACACACAGTGTGCTTGGACCTGTCCCTTAAAGGTTCTATCATCACACAGTCGAGGACGTAGTGTTCAAGTGTGTGGCTATATGTCTGGCCACACACTTTACATTTAGTCTTGTTTATATCTGCTTGAGGAACATACTGCCAGAGGTACTTTTATCCTAACCTATCTAGCAGTAACAACATCTTGTAATCTAGTGATCTTGTTACTTGCTCCATATGCATGTTTCACTTGATACATCTCATCATGGTAAACTATGGATCGACTAGTGCCTGTTTGCACTAGTCTACTTGCGTCAAACTCATCAATAAGTTCTTTCCTTATTACAGTTTTAAGGGTTCTTTTTGACAGACCCAAATTGTATTCATTGGTGTCTGTGTTAGACGCGAGTTTGGCGAGGGCATCAACTGTCATGTTTTATGAGGCCTATGTGAGAGGGGCTCCACAACAGTTCGACCTTGACACCCCGGTCAACAAGGTACGCATATTTGTGTCTGGCTTCAGAGACAACAGAGACAAGAGTGTGACAACTTGAGTCGAGGGTGTCAAGGGCAAGTAGTGAGGATAGAGAGTCAGTGATGATGAGACTGTCAGTAACAGTGGTTTCAATGAATTTAATAGCTGTGAGTATGGCAACTAATTCAGTTTGTAGAGTGGATGCCCAGTTGTTAATTATAACTCCTTTCTCAATTATATTACCGTCAGGTTGAGTCACAACAATAGCACTTCCAGCCCTCCCACAGGCGGTGTTAAGAGATCCATCAGTGTAGATGGTCTGTGTGATATTACCATCAGTCTGTAGAGTGTGTATGTGTTCAAGAGCTCTCACTTTGGCAGTGTGTTGGAGATAAATACCTTGTATAATAAATTTTTTAGGCGGATATGAAGGTATTGTGATATCGAAGGGAACTGTCTGCCAAGGTGGCAGGAAGCGCTGTTGTGTCTCAACTTTGTACAGGTGGTCTAGTCCAAACATCTTCATATGTGTAGCTGTAGTTTGGATCCATTTAGACTCACCAGTCCCATGGTTCATACATTCTAGCAAATTTTAAGGAAACAATGTTATCAGGATCACCACACAGAAGCCTCAGGGCTATCATGAGGTTGACTTCAATTATTCCATCTTTAACACTGGGTATACCTAGTTCTTTCCTCATATTAAGTACTTTAGTGCTCATGGGACATCCTAGGATAATTCTGAGGGCTTTATTTTGCATTTTCTCGAGCTTGTCAACGCCTTTCCCGTCACGAAGGACCAGGGCTGGTGCGTGGTAATCTATCAGAGATCTTATATAACCTAGGTACATTGTTTTAACAATTCTAATATAACCACCATAGAGTGGGCTGTACCCCGCTACACTTCTAAGAGGTCTCAGTCTGTCAGTACATTGGCTGGTTAGCTGTTGTATGGCAGGTAAGATACAAGGGATGGAGACACCAAGATATTTAAAAGAAGAAACATAGTCAATAGTGTTTGTACCTATCTTGAACTTGGCAGGGCCGCGTTTGCGGTTACCAGCTTGTTTGTTGAACACCTTAGTTTTCTCAGTGGAGATAATAAGACCGAGGTTCTCACAGGCTGCGTATACATGGTTTAGGGTGGTTTGCATTTCACGATGAGTTTTAGTATGTATAAGAATATCATCAGCATAGTGTCGCGATCCCAATATCCTTTATACCTGGAAAGTGAAACCTACCCCAAGTTATTAACAAATAAAGGAACAAATAGGGAACACGGCAATAATTATCCCCACAAAAACCTACTCAACTAAATGTACTTGAATAAGTATGAACAAGTTGAAGTAAGTAAGTCATAAAAGGGAAGATAATTAATTAATTCAATTTATGTTCTAAAGGGAGTACTGACTAGCAAACAAGAATTTAAGGGAATAAGTGATCGTATATTAAAATAAGAGTGATGCCGGAAGGGTGAAAATATACCGTTAAGGAGTTAGACCAAACGAATACTACTTAACATAACTATATTACACAAACATACAATATATATATACAACAATCCCTACAAAATAGTTATTTCCTACCAAACAGGAGATTCCTTACCACCAGGATCCCTTCCTATGCCTAACTAAACGTGTCACTAATACCTGATACCCCTAGGGCATTGCAGAAGACTGGACAAGGCACTAGACAAGGGTCAAGGCTAGAGAACGAATGGACACGTCTACCATATGCCACGGTTTTTCGCTACTGGGGAAGCGTGGGGCACGCCGTGGAGGAGCGCGTCTCATATCACGTGATCCAGGATATTCGCTAGATAATCTATATAATTAATTAATACTACTCTTGATTTGACTTAACAGAGTAACACAATGATGCATATTAATAACATACATAAATATACAATTAACCTAAGTAACTAAGAACAATAATAATATAATAAGTACAATTAACAAATTATTAATAGCTTGTGTGAAATGGAGGCGTGAACATATGCCTCACGCCATTGCGAGTTCCCGAGCGCTCAGGCACGTGACAATAGCTGATTGAGATATTGCTGGGGTTGTCTGGTATTAAATTTAATAATGCATTCATAAGAACATTGAACAAAGTGGGGCTAAGTACTCCACCTTGAGGGGTACCAAGTTGCATATCTTTAACTTCACTTTTGCAACCATGAGACAGTGCAGCAGCCCTTCTGTTGGTTAGGTACCTACTTATCCAATGTAACAGCCTACCTCCTATATCCATTTTGGTTAGTTCGTACAATATCAGTTGTCTGTTGGCAATATCAAATGCAGCTTTTAAGTTCAAGAAATGTGGTGTATCTGTTCCTTTCATCACCATGCACAGTTAGGAATGTGGTGTACCTTTACCATGGGTGAAGCCATTTATGTTAGGAGACATGTGTTCTCTGATTCTATATAAGAGTCTGCCAAGAACCATCCTCTCAAAGGTTTTACACAGGCAGCTGGTTAGTGATATGGGACGAAAAGCATCAGGCTGTCTTGGTTTCGGTATTGGTACAACAATACTGCTGGTCCATGATGTGGGTAGTTGGCCCTCGGCATGACTCGTATTGTACAATACCAATAATGGATTGCCCGGCACACGCCTTAGTAGTTTAACGATGTTGTAGGTGGACGGAGTCACTCACAAGCAGCAGATGCAGGTAGTGGGGTGTTCAGTATGAGAGATAAGTCACATAATGTCGGGAAAGACCTCAGTAGCTCCATTTCATCCCCTGGGCATGCCAAGTAGCTACCAAACTCCTTCAGTTGAAGAGTTTTTGGATGATTGTTGCCTCCATAATTACTGAATCTGACTAAGATTCACCGTGAACTGTCCCTCTAATTGGGGTGTGGCTGTGATGACATCACTTTTCGATTCTAATTGATGAGTGGCAGAGTTTTTCACACCACATAACATCTGACAGGTGCTGGGGAGGACCAGTGGTACTTAGTTAAGCAGAATTTTAAATACACTCAGTCTCACACATACAGCCTTTATATTTAAGATGGAATTATGTAAAGCATTTTATAATCAGAGCCTTTTGAAATTCATTTTAGGTACAGGTATATGCAAAGAGCAACTGGCATCTAATGGGAAAACCAAGCCCTCGAAGGAAAGGTGAGGGAGAAGAGGGAGGGAGGGGGGATAAGAGGGTAGGCTAGGTGAGGTGGGTGGTCAAGGTGCTAATGGACACAAGAAGGTCAAAGGGAAAGTCCACTGTAATGGCCACTGCCACCTGACCTGACGTCACCTCGCCTCACGAGACATCTAGGTATGTGACCGCGTGGTGTCTCCCCACACCGTACCCTTCACAGCTCCACCTACACAACTCTTTCACTATGGTTAATAATTATTTAATTAAAGATATATTATTAGTTTGCATGTAACGAGTGACGATTTATTTATTTATTTTTCAATTGTATTGGAGAAAGTATTAGAATACCATACTTAATTAAAAGTAAAAGCGGGGGTCCAGATCCCCCCTTTTCATCAGGAAATTCCAATACTTTTTCCTTAATGCAATATTACACTCGGGCATTTTTTTGTATAGTAAAAAGAAATTACTATTGACCTCAAAATATCTCCTAATATCAAGTGTGCATGGCCTCAAAATGCCCATAATATTGGTCAGATTTCAAAAAATTTCTTGGGGTGGCTTACATCACACCCCCATAACCTCCCAACTGGGTGGGCTCACCATATTCCCCCACCCACAGCTTCATGGACCCTCCCCCCTTTTGATATTCCTGGATCTGCCCCAGAAAAGTACTAAAAAAATTTAGTACAATAGTTTTTTAAAGGTAAGTACTCTGCCACCCTGCCATTTGAACCTTTTGTTTGCCCTCCATACTTTGCTATTATCCTTCGTTAGGTTTTTCAGGAAGGCAACCCCATTGTTAAACGAGGGATACCTGTACCTACTTTGTGGATATTTACTTGAAGAAAACATAACAAATAGTAAAATATTTACTGTACTTAGTGTCCATAAATAATTTTCTTTACTTTAGAGTTACTGAATAATTTTTTTCTTCTCATTTTTTCCTGTTGTTTTTTCATATCATGAACAGTACTTACATTGATAAAATATCTTCATTTTATTGTTAAGGTTAATGCTTTCTTTTAGGTGTTATACCACCCACTGAAGACTTACAGCACTAGCAATAGTAGACGAAGAATTGAGTTGGAAAGTTTGTTGGCTTGTCAAGGCTCTGAAATTCAGATAATTTAATTTTTTTAATTATTGAAGTTTGAATCATGAGGGTTTTACTGTACTGTTTACATTTCTTGGGTTATTGTTGTGGTTACCTTTGAATTTAGGAATGGATATTCCAGACATCAGAAACTACAACTGCAGAGGTCTACAGTACCAGTATAATATACTGTAAAGATAAGTTACTAGATTTGCCACCATTATTTGATTTAATTTAAAAAAGTCATAAGAAATATGTAAAATTAATTATAATAAGATTTTTCCAACCCAGATAAAATTGTGACATTTTGTTCTTAGTGAAGCACTACTTTGAACTACATGTTCTAATTTTAATCTATACATTACAGATTGATATGGAGGATGAACGTGAGGTGAGAAAAGAGGACGCTATGTCTTTAGCAAAGTTCTATAACATCAGCTACGTTGAAACAAGCTCAATGAAAGGAATCAATGTGGAAGAGGCATTCAGAACTATCACACAAGAAGTGTATGATAAGGTATGCATAGTTGTCTCACACTTTTGTACATTATTTGATTGTAGAAAAAAAAATGAGTGTGATAAAAAAGGTCAATATAAACATTATTGAGGCTTTTCTCACATTATTAACAAGGTATTGTGTCACCAGTGGGATAATTATAGTACAGTACAACAGTCAGTTACTCATTTACATTGAGGGTAATATGTCTGGAAAGAATAAATTAATATAAATTAACTTTGCTGCTGTGATGTACCATCAGTCATCCTTTAATTATATCTTACTTTGATCTTAACATCAGTTTTTTACTGTATTTATTGTAATTGTATTTTTGTCAGAGATACTTAATTAGAACCTTCTAGATGCATATAAATGCTTGTTGTTTACATATGTGCTAAATTATATCTTTAGAAGGCTGCCCAGATCATGCAAAATGAATACAAAAAAGACCTGCTAGTGCTTTGCCAAGCACATCTTTTATCAAGAAACACTGAAAGTGTGTATTACTATTACTTGAGTAATTGAAGCAGAGTTGGGGTGACTAGAGGGTTATTTTTTTATTTTATTTATTTTTTTTTTTACGGGGAATAGCCCACCCGGGCACAGGTCAGTGACCAACAACAGAGCCTAGGGGGCGAAAAAATAAGAGTAAAAAGAAACTAAAAAGAAAAAAGAAAAAGATTACTGTACAGTATACAGTACTGTATTAATCTACACCACAAAGATGCTGGAAAACCAACTTTTTAAAGTGAGACAGATTGTATGAGTATGGAAACACAGAAGAAGGTAGAGCATTCCACAGTTTGGCTGTGTGAGGAAAGAAGGAGGTACTATAATGTGTTATTCTAGTGTGACCGACATCCACAGAGAAACGGTCAGCACCGCGGGCAAGACAAGTGTTACGAGCCCACAGCCTTGCCAAATCCACCGAACATTGCTCATTAAAATACCTGTGAGAGAGAGAGTGAAGCAATAGTACGGCAAAGAGAAAAGGAAGAGAGATTGTCAACTAAAGGAGGAGATTTAATAAGATGAATGCCTTTGATTCCACCCTATCTAACAGTTGAACAGAAGAAGAGCCACCCCAGATGTGAGAGCAGTACTCCAAGTTAGAACGAATGAAACCCTTATATACTTGAAGCAACTGCTCAGGAGTGAAGTAGCGATGGCATCTGTACAGCATTCCCAGCTTTCGGGAGGCAGTTTTAGCAATGTTGTGGATGTGTGGCTTCCATGACATATTAGAGGAAATGGTGAGGCCTAGCATATCTATTTTAGAATTTGGCAGAAAGATTGCATCCTGAAATGTGATTGATGGGAGATCATCTGATTTGGAAAGTGTAATTGGTAAATACTGTGTTTTATTCCTATTGAATTTAACTACCTCCCTATTCCGAGATGCTGCACAGATCCGCATTGATAGATGAAATGATATCAGCTCTGGAAACCGATCTAGTTTGAGAATTAGGGGGAAGGGAAAAATGTGAAGAAGAATGAAGAGTAGAATCATCAGCGTAAGATTGGATAAAATTAGTCATAGTGTGAAGTAAATAATTGATAAAAAGTAGGAAGAGAGTAGGTGAAAGAACAGAACCCTGTGGGACACCACTATTGGTTGAGAAGGAGCAAGAGATCGATCACTCGACAACAACTACCACGGATCAGTTCTCAAGGAAGATTAGAGAGGAAGCAGCTGTAATTATTGTTATAAGAAGTGAATGTTTAGTGGATGAAGTCGAGAGAGTGAGGAATTAAAATAGCACAGCTGCTGAAGTTAGTGACTGTCAACAGCTAGTATACTAAGGTGGTATGAATACCCCCAAAAATATGACTAAATATGAGGGTCTTTTTATGATTAAAGGTATAGAAACAGACTCTAAATACATAGTCAAGATATAGAGTACTGCGTATATCCTGGGGATGGACATTCAGTAAGCAGTGGTACACTGCCTCTTCATTTAACACGGAGGTTGCGTTCCCAGAAAACACTGTGTAGAGCCAACTCATTATAACATGGAGAGATAGCGGATGTGTCAGGCGGAACCCCCTCCCACACACACACACACCAAAAACACTCCAAAACCAAAGTTCAAAGATATCGTACAGCTCTAAAGTAGCTCACTAATACACATACATCTATCAAATTCACTTAAACCTGATGTTGTGGAGGCACTGGTGTTTCCGTCAAATCAGTTCCCAAAAGTTTAACACAGCATAAAGGCTGGCTGTGTCATGTGTGGCCTCCCTCAAGTCTCACCATAGCCGGGGACTCTCCTCTTCTTGGCCCTTAGCATTGCTCCCCCTCCCGTTGGTGTACAATTTTTTTTTTTTTTCATTTATGTTTTTCAACTAATGATAATTATTATTATTATTTTTTTTTTGTTCACAGATGCTGTGTTTGATTGTGTGTGCATAAAACTAAATAAAAAAGAAATACCGTATGAAGAAATTTAAGTTTATCTACCCAAAATTATGAGTTCAGAAACAACCTAAACTTAATTCCTGCTAAATCTCACTGGTGCAGCCTTCTCTTTTACTTACTTTACTTTTATCCTCTTCACTACTTATCGGCTCGTTAGCCGCTTGGGCGATCGGTCACGTCTCTGTTATGCACTGTTGGCAAGTACTGGGCATGCACGGACTCCTGAATTTACCTGAACCTGCTCCAGTGTTGGTCAAGTCTGGTCTTGAAAGAGCTTACACTCAGTGCCGACGCAACACTTTCTGGTAGATTGTTCCAAGAGTTCATAACTCTCACTCCGAAAGAGTTTGCCCTCACAGTGTTCTGGACCTGCGGCTTCTTCAATCTTGAGCTGTGACCCCTTGTGGGGTGAGCGTCCGCCAGCCTCAGGTAAGGACACTTGACTGAGTAGTGCCCCTTGAGATGTTTATACACCTCAATTAGGCTGCCCCTTGTCCGTCTGTAGTATAATCTAGGCAAGTTCAGGCACTCTAATCTCTCAGGGTAGTTGAGGTGCCGAAGTGCAGGCACCAATCTGGTGGCCCTCCTTTGAACATTTTCAACTAACTGACAGTCTCTAGCATATCTCGGAGACCAGACGGGGTGATAGTACTCCAGATAGGGAGCCACTTCACTCTTGAAGATCGTTACGAGGGACGGACCGTCTAGATATCTGAACGAACCTTCTTATAAGACCTAATAATTTATTTGCCTGATTTACCTTCTTCTCGCAATGGCCCGAGAACTTCAGCTCATTGTCAACATACACACCTAGGTCCTTCTCACATTCAGTCTCAAATAGTGCAGTTTCTTCATCTCGTTGGGACATATGATACGCCTCCTTACCATTGGTACGCCCCAGGTGCATCCTCTTACACTTCATGATATTGAATCTCAGCAGCCACTTCTTCGACCATTCTTGGAGCTCACAGAGATCCTTCTGCACCTCTTCACAGTCCGCTTGGTTCTTGATTTCCCGAAATAACTTGGCGTCATCCGCAAACATTTGTAGAGAGGAGTGTACAACGTCAGGCATGTCATTTATAAAACAAACAAGCAACAGCGGGCCCAGTACACTGCCCTGTGGTACCCCGCCTGTGACAGGCACAGATGATGATTTCATGCCATTAATCACCACACACTGCTTGCGATCATGTAGAAAGTCTTCTATCCACACTAGGACATTTCCCCGAATTCTGTACCCTTCCAGTTTGATTTTCAGCCTTTCGTGGGGTACAATATTGAAAGCCTTGGCAAAATCTAGGTATATATTGTCGATATTTCCACCCCGTTCCAGAATATGGGTCCAAATATCCAATACCTTAAGCAATTGTGTTAAGCAGGAGCGCCCCGGCATAAAACCATGTTGGCAATCCTTTACAAGGTTGTTTCGTAGTAGGTGTTCCATTGCGGCATCTCTGATAATACTCTCAAGCACTTTACATATTATGCTGGTCAGGCTCACCAGTCTATAGTTGTTCATGGAGTGACGATCGCCCTTCTTGAAGATAGTGCTCACATATGCCATTTTCCAATCACGGGACCTTTTATTCATCTATGCATTTACAGAACAGGATCTTCAGGGGCTCGGCACCATGCACCATGTCAGGGCCGGGACTCTTATGGACCTTTAGCTTTGACAGTTTATTTCTTATACCCTTTTCTGTGAACACAATGTGGGTCAGTGCTGTGTTGAACCGTCTGTCCTCAAACGCAGGAAGGTTAATCGCATCCTCTCTTGTGAACACCGAGGAAAAGAAGCTGTTCAATGCCTCAGCTTTATCCTGGTCAGAATCTGCGTAACTACCATCTTCAAGCCTCAGGTCTGATACTCCTACTCACGTTTTTAATTTTGACTTTGCATAGTGGTAAAACGCCTTTGGGTTTGACTTGAACTCGCTTGCAACCAGCCTCTGGAACTCCTTTTCAGCCCTTCTACACTCAGCCTTTGCTTGGTATCTGGCTCTTGCATACATCCTCCTGTCTTGCTCATCGTTTGACCTAACCCACGTCTTGAATTTCTGGGTTTTCTTCTTAACTTTGTCGACCGCCACATGGCTCATGTGTAGGGATACCCTCGTATTGCTAGAAGCACTAGGTTTGGTTTTGGGTATATATTTATCGATTAAATTGGTGACTTTATTAGTTATGGTATTCAGCGTAATGTCTGCGTTCTTGTGCCTTAGTGAGTCAGGCCAGTGGATACCCCTCATCTCTTCCCTCATCCCGTCATAATTTCCCTTGTAATATTTGCACCTTGGCCTGGCTTTATCTTGAACTAGGTAACAGTTAAATCTGAATGACAACACTACATGGTGACTGGTGCCAACTGTGGCTAGATGTTCCAGTTTGGCCACCATACCCTCCTCGTTTGTTATGATGAGGTCTAGAGGCTTGAGTGTTTGCTTTCCTCTGTAATGTGTCGGGTCTTTAACATGTTGGAACAGAAAATTATCTCTCAGAGTTTCTACAAAAAAGAGTAGCAGGGTTATTCAGGTCATTCAGGGTGGACTCGTTTCTCCAGTCGATGCCGCCATAGTTTAAGTCCCCCATGATAAGGAGATGGCTAGGGTTGAGCATCGCTGCATTGTTTATTAAGGCTCTTAAGTTCCTTTGATTTAGTGGGCTACAGTTTGAGGATCTGTAAATACACCTGACAATAAGTCCCCTTGCTTTAATTTAATTTTACACCACTTGGACTCTTCAAAAACATCCTCTCCCTGTACCCTCGCCTGGCTGGCTCTAAGGTCTTGCCTAGCATAGATAACCACACCCCTCTAGCAAGTTTCTTGAGAAATGTTCATAAAAGAGTCATATCTAGCAATATTGAACTCACATTCCTCTGGGTTAATTCTCCTGTTCTTGTCCAACAGTTCTACAACTCCTACAATATCGGGTTGGTGTACCTTCAGTCGTGTTTCAAGCTCCTCTCTCTTCTCAAGGAACGTGCCAGTATTAGTGTACGACATTCAAGCCAGAATTTGTTCTCGGTAACGTCTCTGCTCTTAGTAGTAACTCCGGCCCCCCTCCATTCTCAGAAGCTGCAGCACTTGCTAAGTACACTGTATTTTGCAGGGTGTGGTTAGAAATGTCATTGTTTACACGGCGCTCGCCTCCTCCTGTCTGGCAGGTGGAGCTGGTGCTACCTCCCAAGTGGGGTGTAGAGCGGGTGGAGGGTCCGCTGCTGCCCCCTGGCTCTGTGTCGGCACACTTGCTTCCACTACCCTCCCCCTGAATATAACCCATGTACACCCATCCCCATTCCTCCTTGACTCCTCCCTTTTCTGCTTCAAGCCCTGCAGGAGCTTCTTGTGCTGTTCCCTCTGTATTACCATGCGATCTGGATGAATGAATACATTCCGAAATGCCTCGCTCCTTGCTAAGTTTTTTGCCTGCCGAATAACCTCCCATTTCTCCTCCTCACTCACTAGTGTGATCCTGAGGGGGCGAGGCTTATCCCCCTGCTTTTGTCCCAGCCTCCTCACATCCTGAGGGGTTGATGGCATATTCAGAACCTCTGTACAAATATTCTTAAACTGCATCTTATTGTGTGTTATCCTACTCTCAGTTCCCTCCGCCTGGCTCTTTTGGTTTGGTCTTCCACCCAAACACTTAGCAGTTTCTTTCACTTCTCCAGCCTTGGGTTTCTTACTCTTGTTGTTTTCTGTGCATACAGTTAAATAGACTGCTGCACAGCGGCTCTGATCTCAGCATTCTTTTTGTGGTACAAATAATTTACTCATTCACAGAAAAATCACATCTGACAGGCGGCAGACTGGCTTCTCTCTAGTCGTTTAAGAATGTCTAACTTACTCTTTAGGGTGGAGTTTATGGGTGTGGCTGGACCGAGCACTAGCTAAACTCTGGACCCACGTGGTACTGAGTGGTGTGGGGTCGCTGCCTGTGGATTGTAATAGACTCAACTGCTCGCCCACACAAAACATTTCATAACTGACCACATTCAGCCGAATTTTCCTTTGTTACTCCAGCTTAACATGTGTTCAAGCAAATTTTGCCCCATGTTAAGCAATACCTGGTGGTAGTAATGGAAAAAAACGTATAACCATATTCGAGCAAATCCACATTGAACTATCCTGCGTTAAGCAGTGTACAGTTAAGCATGATAAGAGAGGATGGCATCAGCCATCAAGTGGTTTATGGGAATGTATGTACAATCAAAGACAAAGCTCGTGTCGTGGTTTTGTCTGAAGATTAAATATAACTCGTGAAGCATTATGAGAGCCCCCTACCACAAGGCAGAGTGCACCAAAAGTTTAGCCCTTTGGCATATATTTACACCCGATTTCACAACACGACTTTTGTCTTTCATTGTACTTAACGGGTGATTCTAGTTTTTGTGAAGCAGATTATATAGCTTAAGACATTTATGGAAGGGAAGCATCATGGCATAATATATATCTTTCAGTAGGAAGCGTGAATGGTAGCAAATAAAGGGAGAATCTGTGATCTAGGTTGTGGTCATACATTACACTGTAATGTATGATGGTAATGCTGGAGTAGGTGGAGTAAAAAAAAATTCTGGTAATTGTGTATGTGGAGGTCTCTCTGATTTATATCTGAAGCCTTTGTTCTTTTGAAGTACTGTACACAGGTTTACTAATTACAGTAGTTGACTTGTGTACTTACTATAATATTTCCTTTCTTGATACACAGATACAGTCTGGAGAGTTCAAAATTGAGGATGGCTGGGACGGCATCAAGACGGGGTTCTCTCGACCTAGCCCTTCCTACAGCTTAATGGAAGCCGAAGCAGAAAAGTCTGGATTTTGTTGCTAGAAAGCTACAAAATACTGTGTGTTGGAAGCTTCTTTAGAAAATATATTTAATTTATTTAAGGTGATTGTATTTTCCAAGGAAGCAGAATTCATTCATTTCACAACAATAAAAAAAACAAGTCACTGTGAAGACATTCTTACTCAGTGAAACAGTGAAGCTTTGCAAGCTCATTTGCAAGTAAACCAAAGGTTTTACCCTAGTCCCATCCACCTATGTTACAAATGTGTTACTGTGAATATTTTAACAACTGTTTGGTCAAGGGCTGTAGCAATGGCTGTACTGTATAAGAGTTGTATCACAAGTTAATCCCAGATTTGTTTGCAGAATTTTTTTTATTTTCAATATTCATAATGTTCCAGAATTGAGAACTTGGGATTTGTCGTCCAGAATGATTTGGAATAGGAGCAACTACATACTATAAGTCTGTGTGTGACTGCAGTCATTCTCTTGTTGACTCTTTGAGACTGATGTTCAGTACTTTCAAGATTTTATTCAATGAGAATTAGGTTTACAGCTGTGATAAGGCCAGTATAAGAACTTTGTTATTATTTTGTCTGTTGTGTGTACATGTGCATACCCATATCTACACAGAAACATGAACACATACATATACACTCTTTCTCTCTCACTCTGAAATACACAAAGAATGCTATAGTGTATATACAAACACACACTCACTTGTAATAATCTATGTATGTGTTTGTGTCCTTTCCTTTATGCCATTTTCTATAATGTATAGATAAAAATTAAATGTACATACTGTACACATACATACATACATACATACATGAATATATACAGTACCTGTAATGGGGGTCTTATCTCCCAGCAGCAAAAAATGGTAAATCAACATTCTAGTACAATAATTTGTGCGTTTTATCATACAAGGCAGGGTGTTACAACATGATTTCTTGCCGGGAATACTGTATGTTTATATGATACGGATCATATTTCTGTGTGTTTGTGTATTTATTTATGCATATTTATTTCCTTTATATGTTTATATAATATTTGCAAATGTATGATAATGGTGTACAGAAAATAATGGAGAAAATTCCATCTTGAGTGCATTCATCACCATTTGTACAGTATTTTGTTACTTAACATTACCTGTACTTCCATCAGATAAAAGTTCACTCTAATGTATGAAAAATTTAAACAACACACACACACATGCACACACACACATACACACACACACACACACACACACACACACACACACACACACACACACACACACACTTGTTTTAAAGATCACCATAAATTATCCATTGAAAAACATTTTGGTAGCTAAACTGTCATAATGTTATTTTAATGATGTTTATGCCTTGGTAATTTTTATTGTGTTACTTTAATAGATTTAAATAACTTTATATCATAAAAGTAAAACAGATACTGTGTAAATTTTTAGAAGTAATATTTAATATAACTAAAACACTACCTTTAATGGGGTGTACACTAATGTAACCTTTATTAGAGACCAACCTAGGAAAAACTAAGTGATTCTCTAGTGCAGTGGTAGTGCTGCCTCACTAGTAAAGGTCACATACTTTGCAATAATTGACTACAGTCCAGGTACAGTGTGAGGTGGGCATGCTGATGGTAGAACAACCCTTTAGTCAACTAGCATCCTTTCAAAGGGTGAGAGGGGGGGGGCGAGTTAAGGATCAGGGTCAGCCACTTTGCATAACAGCTGAAAATGGCTTCAATGTATGAAAAAGTATACATTATTCCAAATTGTTATAAATATTTTACACGGGGCTGGGCTTGATCTTCGCTGACTAATTAAAGGTATCACTGTACCATATCCAGTGTACCTCACAGGTTTTTTTTTTTTTTTTTTTTACAAGTGCAAAACAGAAGCCCTTCTTTTCTGTGTTTGGATTACTTTAATGTTTCTCAGAGAATTTGCTCCAAAGAGGATTACTTAAAGTTAGTTCCAATAGAAGATATTAGCTTAACTTAGTCACAAGAGGGAATTACCTTAATTAACCCCAATAGTGTATTACCTTAATTAACTCTTAATAGTGTATTGCCTCAACATACTTTAGCTGCAACAAATATTTACAGTACCTTAACTTAGCTCGAAGAGTGGCTGTGTGACAAGTCGTTAAAAACGTACTGTATGGTATAGCCCTTGAGGATTTGAATTTTAATGTTAATTACATTGAGATTTTCTTTTGGAGATTTGATTATACATTTTGTTTTTTGTTTTTAGATACAGGGACTTCCTGATCATGTTTGAGCTAAAACGGTAGCAAAATCAGTTTCCACTGTCAAGAGACAGGACTTTGTGATGTCATCAGGAATATGTATGTATTTTTTCTTCTGTACATGTTTTATTTTGATCTTATTCCTTAATATTTTCAAAATGAAAATACTTTTTGATCATGCAAATTATATTTCACTTGAGGATTAGTGTTACGTATGGATTGGTTTTATGTATGTACTGACAATTATTTTCTTTTATGATATTTAAAGGAAGCCATTTTGGACAGTTGTTACTTTAATATAGATAATGGAAATACAAATTTTGGAGCACCATAGGTCAGTTAGTAGCACTTGGACTCCCAGCCCACAAGAAACAGATTCATTCTTCTTATGACCAGGCAGGGTTGATGAGGCATTATTTATTGTACAGGTAGTGTGCACTCGAGCTGGCCACTCACCACGTCAGATTCCCAGGCTATCCTAACCTTCTTTACTTGAAGGTCACCAGCCTGTAAATTGTGGAAAACACTATAAAGTATATTTTTAGAACTAAAAATTTATGGTTAATGAATATATTAGCTCATACTGCTCTGAATTGCACATCAGCTAAGCACCTTAGTCTCCCATTGTTCTGTTCTGAAGGAATGAGATAATGACAGGTGAGGACATACCTTAGCATGAAGTGAATGGTTTTCAAGGGATCAAGAGTAGATAGAAGTGTCTCATAAGATCTTAAAAAGAGAGAATGAGGGTGATGAGGAATGATAAACTTGTAGCATACATGCAGGCATGTATACACTGTGCACTTTCAAGTCATATGTAAATAAGTCAGTGTAAGTGAAATATGAGAAACCTTATTGAGGAGCGTTTTGTTGAAGCTCTCGAGAAGTAAGTATATACCGTACCATATTTTGTTGCTTTGGGGCAAAATTGTTGTAACTCCTTGAAATTTGTTGATATATATGGCAAATTAACCTAATTTGTTGGTATTTCACCAATTTCCTGCGTCAGATCTTTTATTAATGTGAGGATGACTTACTTTATCTGTGCACATTTTATTCAGAATGTGGAATTACAACATTTAGGCACTAAGGCATTGATTTGCTGTAGGTTTTATAAATGGAATGCAAAAGTTTGAGTATTATTTTTAAGGTAACTTTTGCAGTTTTAATAATACAAATCAGTATCTTATGTATGCAACTAATGTGAATATAACTTATATAGTCATTTTTATGCATATATACACATTCAAATACTGTACAGTACAGTACATTCTTTTACTCTTCAGAGTTATGTATTGTTCCACTAATCAAATCCAAAAGTTTTCACCATATCAATTTACTGCACTTTTGGATTTATTTTAGAGTAATAATCTGTGGATGAGTTATTGAAAAGTGACCTTTATCTTACCATTTCCAGATATATGCCAGATCTCATAAGGTTTATTTAAACTCAGCTAACAGTCATGGTACTCTGTTAAACATGGTTTTCATTCAAATGGTGTTGGTTGTTGAAACTGATTCAGTTTTACAAGTTATATTAAAATACATCGAAAAGACACTAGGTATGCATGGAGGAGTCCTACACCATTGCATCCATAGTGATGGTTGTGAACTTTTCTTCAAAAGCACAATAACTTTAGGTAAAAATAATCTTAGTGCAATCTCAACCCTCTTGTGGTTCATACAAAAGTGATGTATGTGATCATCATAGAAGAAACAAATCTCATCTATGTAATTTTGATCTTTTCACTTCTTCATATGATCCATATTTCTTATTTACTAATGCTAAAATACAAAGTCTAAATTATATATCCATTCATTTTACTTATCTGAATTATTATTTTATTATTATTATTATTATTATTATTATTATTATTATTATTATTATTATTATTATTATTATTATTACATTTTTGGCCTCGATGTGGGTTAGTGACCTGTGCCCGGGTGGGCTAGTCCCCATAAAAAAAAAGAATAGAAAAGAGATACCCATAGTAAGTACATTGTAGTTTTATGGGCTCTGTCTTGCACAAAATTGCAATATTGGAGGTGGTGGACTCGTCTCTTTGTTATGACTAGGCACTTCATAGTGTGAGCTGACAGCAGCTATTTTGTGTCTGTAATGCAAAATATATTGTGCTGCAATGTAGTGATACTTTACAGTGTGATATTGTTTCCAATAAAACTTTTTCTTCTAAGATGAAATACTATGCCATATTCTTCCTGGTAGTAAGAGAAGAATGCTTTGTGGATTTGTATTGATATATATTAACCTGTGTTTCATACTTAAATAAGGGCAGCATATTTAGTGTCTTGACGACTCTCTTCATCTTGGCTCCTTATCGTGCCAGATGCCCTACTGTATTGCTCAACACCTTACCAATAATTTCTGGTTGCTTCTTTAGCATAGAATAACTAAAACAAAGGTCTCATCCTTGCACTGTAGGATGCGACGCCCATAAACATCTCAAACCAGAAAAAGACTTAATTGGTGTGGGTAAATTCAACACTTACACGAAAAATAAATATGAACATAGAAACTACTTAAAAGAATGGGATGGAAATTTGTGTGTGTTGAGTTGAAGATTGTGCAGTGAGGGTAGATTCACTATTTGGTATTAGTAATTGGTACTGGTAATTGTTTTTAAGTAACTGCTCAGGAATAAGCAGGTTTGTGGTTATGGTAATGTCATCATTCAGTGCCAGGAATCCCCCAGAAAGAAATTCATTATCCTAACTACCTTGTAGTAGACAAATATTAAATTTTTTCATGACATAGCAAGTTATAAATTGTTTTTAAGAAAATTTCCTGACAGGCTTTCTGTTGATAAAGTTGTTTTCTTACTACAGTATATAAATGTAAGAGACAGGGTATTGGAAGTCGATATATTTATTTTTTATTTTTTTTTATTTTTTTTTATCGCCTTTATGCATTACAGTATCTAGGTTAAAACTACTGTAGTTGTTAATTTTTTCCCAAAGAGTGACCAGAGCAGCTCAGCATATCAATAATGCACCAAAGCCTCTCAAATACTTGGTCCAACAAATATATGGTATTTTCAGAACACATTTAACTTCACTATTTTGCTCTGAAAATTTGAGTCACTGAAGCACAATAATTTATGCCAAGACTTCCGAGACACTCTTATGGTTGTAATTTTTATATACCTGTACTTTAATTTCTATGAAGATCTGTATACTGTATTTACTAGCTGGTAATTTTAATTTCTATAGTGTGCATAACATAGGAGACTTTTAACATAAGCTATATCAGATGCATGAAAACTGTTAGAGTAGAGAGCATAGTTGTCCATAGTGATATGGGTTGGGTGATGTCCCTCTGCAGTACCTTAGGTAAGAGAATGTCGGGCATGAAAACAACTACCGCCAACCCTTGAACTTGTAAAAATAATAAGCTATATTTAAAAGTTATAAAACCTAACATAACTTCAACCTAGGTTAGGTCAGGTTTTATTACTTGTAAATGAGTCTTGTTATTTTTGTAATGGACTTTGGTGGCAGTGCCTTTCATACCTGATGTAGCCGAACAGTTATTACTATAAGTAAGGATCCTGGCTACTACACATGTATTTATCCAGATAAATTATCCAAATACTCATATGCATATTCTATTTTTATTAATATACATAAGTATTGATAGAAAGTAATGTAATACTGTATTTCACTTTGGTCATTGCTCACTACTGTACACTGCTGAGGCCACCATCAGTCAGTTCACTCGCTTTTTCTTTTTTAACACAGTAGTTACTTGTTGATGTTGATGTAACATAGTTGTGCTTTAAGAATGATTAAATATGCAGTCATAGTGCAGGTAGATAGTTTTAGGGAAAGCAAATATATAGTATACCAAATACATATTGTATTTATGAAAAGTGTAAATGTTTTGGGATTTTATTTTAGATTTTAACCTGCTGAAAATTTTCATACATGTGAATGTCTTTTATAATTTTGTAATGTTTTTCTAATATGGAATTTAACATTCTCTTGATCTTGTAAATCCAGTGTTGCTGTTTTTTTCCTGTTCATGAAAATGTTACCAGTCTATATGAAAAGTTTGGTTGTGTGAGGGAACAGGAGTAAACCAGATAAATACTTGGGTGTTGTGGAAGGGGAGTACCACATCAGTAAGAATGACTAATTGACTGTGAGTGAAGGGATATTGTGTGTGCGTGTATGTGTGTGTGTGATCTATGCTCCAGCCTCCTGAATCATACTGAGAACAGACATGAAAGACTGGGAAAGATAAAGGGAAAACTGTTTGATTTAATTTTGAGGTTTAAATTGCTTGACACTGTTAATAAATCAGATTTTAAGCTTTTTGAAGTCTTTATAGCAAAGACTGCAAGGAAGTTGAGCATTTAGACTAAGTAAAATATTTTTCATTTAAACAGTACTTAAGTAATTTATGAATAATCATACACTATATCAGACAAACATTCCCTCACTGCTTTTTTTTTTTTGCAACTATTGTTCCAATAATATGAACAAATGTAAAGGATTTGCAAACTTAAACTGCATGAAGAATTGATGCCTATATAATAAAATAATTACTAAGTCTGTACAGTACAGTAAAACTAACTGTTAAATTGTACAGGTTGAAGGTATGAGAAAAGACTATGTAAGGAGAGGAGTAAAAAAATAATAATAAATGAATAGAACTGGACCAGATCTTTGGCATTGTTTTGGCTGAAACATTAGATTTTTTTTTAATGTTACCAGGATTGTCTAACTGATAGTATAAAAAAAAAGGTTTATTATTATGGTTAGTTGTAGGAACATATACAAGTACTTTGATTCAGCAGTTGCAGAAGCATTCACACTGTTGAATGAATGAGAAAATTGTCATGTGTTACTTTGGGCTACAAGGTTCCCACATGTTTGTCACTTTTATCTTACACTAAGTAGATGGACACACATTTTCATTTAGTTGTTGGACAGTCTTGTAAATTTACTTCTGTAAATACTGTATACAGCAGTTTTTATTCATCTTCATCCTTATAAATATATGATGTTGCATAGGTGTATGAATGCATGTATGTACAGCCAGAAGCAGTAATTGCTACCACCCCCTAGTGGCTCAGGCCACAGTCAGTGAAGGCCAGTATTGATACACTGCTACAATGCCAGCCACGGTAGTTCTAAAACCACCCAGAAATGTTTAGACGGGAGGGGGGGAAGGGAAAAGAGTTTTGTCCGATCACCAGTCTTTTACTTGCCATGGCTCTGGCTACTAGGGGGTGGTAGCAATTAAAGTTCCTGACTACAGTATATGCAGAGGGGTGTTAAGATTAAATAGGAGTTAAATGTACATACTCAAGGTGTTTAACCTTAATTTTCATTTTAAATCTTAAATGCAGAGCATTTGTAATATTTATAAGTCTCAGGAAGGTAAAGGATGAGCAATATGAAAACTTACAGTTGACTCTGGGGATCCCATATGACAACCATGATTCTGATTTGTTCAGATGTAGAACATTAATGAAACAGTAAAATTACAGGTACCGTATTAATAATTCAGTGTTTTAATTTTAAAGTGGCTCTTAACCAAAGTGACCAATTCAGCTTAGTTAAATTGTTCAGAGAACCAAATTTTAACTCCTTGGAAAAAATATAATGCTGTAATATTAGTTAATCTGAAAACTCAGCTGTATTCAACACTTCAGTTTATTGTGTTTGTTATAATTATTTACAGCATAGGAGCCGAGGACCTGTTGATCCCCAGCCTCTTCAAATCCTTTATGGTCTTTTATCCAGATTATTTTATTAGAAGTATAAGTCTTAAAGTCACCATAACAATGACCTACTGGAGATGTTGGTCCCCAAGCTAAATAATAGATGTAGGTACAGCACTTGGCAACAATGCTCAATAAAAACAGCAGTGAGAAATTAGAGTACTGTAACTGATAACAAACAATATTTAAGAGAGCCTGGAGGTGTTACAAGAACCTTGGTACAGTAAATAGAAACAAAGGAATGTACACAGGAATATGAAAGACTAAGGTGGTACTGGCATGAATAATGAGTGAAATGACAGGTTAGTGATGAAAATTGTGATATTGGGTACTGTACCTATGGTTAGACCAGATGACATGGCGAGTCACTGGATATGTCTGTGTGGGTGTTTCATGTGATATTTCAAAGTAAATTTCTGAGATTGTTTTATAGGAGACGTGTTTGTAAGAGTTGGTGCAGGTGCTAGTCTTACCTAATGAGTGAGCAGCTTAGAAAATGGATTGATATTAATTGTTTTAGTGAAGGTGGCACTTTTCATACTCACATAAGTGTGGTTACATCTGAAGGTTTGTTGGGCTTTTTGCACTCAATCAATCCCATTTTGTGTATATATATATATATATATATATATATATATATATATATATATATATATATATATATATATATATATATATATATATATATATATATATATATATATATATATATATATATACATACACACACACCCCTGTATATACTCAAGTAATAAAATACAAAAGAGTAATACCATACATGTATATAGTCTTTATATATTTCTGCCACTACTGTTCCTTCCATTTACTATAATTTGTTGATTTTTTTTCTTACTTGATTTGCATCTTCATTCACAACAATAATATGGTTAGAGATAAGTTATTGGCGTCTTTTAAGCATCAACAGTGGGAAAATATTTAGGTATAGCACTCGCCTTCACCCGGGTTGTAGGTGTCCCAATAGCTTTGTTTTTAGTTTTACCGAGCACATATTTAAAAAAAAATAAGGATCAAGCAATTTGCACAGTAAACCTTGTACTAGCTTTACCAGGCTTATACCTTATAACATCAAGCAGGCATATCAATGAATTATATAGAATATGAAGTTCTTGTAATGAGTAGATTTTCCACTTTTTATATCAGGAGCTTGAATGTTTTGTTTTTTAATGTAAAAATTGTACTGTATATCATAAGACTTAAATGATGTAAACAAGTCTCAACAACAATCACTAGGTGCTGCCTAGTGTGTATGTAACTCAATGCACTACCTCTCAACCCACTGTATAGTTATGCTGCATGATGTTTTTGTGTTAACACATTGGTGTTTGTCAAAGGAATAATCACACAACTGTTGAATTTGGATTTACATTAGGTATAAACAGATAGATGGCTTATGGAAGTTCTTTTTCTAACAAATGTGTGTAAATATGATTTTCTATTGGACTTTGCAATGTGTAATGGCTACATTTAGCAATTTTATACGCTGAAAAAAGTGTAAATATATATAAATGATGTAAAATTGGTTTTCTTTGATCCTTTGTTGTTTATATATTAATTACACTCACAGGAATAATGTTGGGGAGTGGGAAAACTTATAGGCTGTAGGAGGAACAAGCTAAATCACCAAGTGTTAAAGATAATGTATTGATGAAGATAGATGATATGAGGAGGTGAGGCTTACAAAAAACTTAACAAAGAAATTGAAAAGGACTCGAGACAACAAGGAAGATGATATAAAAAGTAAATGCAAAGAGATAGAAGGTGATGAAAGGCATAATTGTAGGGAAATATACAGAAAGATTAAACAAATGAAAAGAAGGAAATAAATGGGGGTGGGACTATTAAAAGCAAAGACAATAAGATCCTGTTTGAGAAGAAGTGAAAGAGAGATGGGTAGAGTACATAGAAGAACTACACAATGATAAGGATAGAAAAGAGGGAAGAATCAGAAAGGATATAAACTACAAGTAATAAAGATTATGCCAATTCTGGAAACAAAAGTTGAGGCAGCAGAATTTATAAAACAAATGGGCAAGAATGGGATAAAATGTTTGACTTAAATATGATATGTAATAATGTATACAGTAATCCTGTGTTTTTATCGCGTTTTTGACCATTAGCGGTTTTTTACTAAAAAATTATTTTTTTATAAATTTTATTTTCTATGAATTATTACAGTATTATTATTATTATGATTATTATATTATTATTATTATTATTATTATTATTATTATTATTATTATTATTATTACATTTTCGCCCCCCAGGCCCCGATGAGGGTCAGTGACCTGTGCCCGGATGGGCTAATACCCGGGAAAAAAATCCTAGAGAGCACCCAGTATAGGACGATTAGCTTAATAATTCAAGTCATGCCCTTGAAATCGTATTAAACATAATTTCATGTATTATAAAATTTAAATACTGAGTTATCTTAAGATCAATATGGGCTTAAAAGGGGAAAAGGAACTAGAACAGCTGTAGCCCTCGCAGCAGACAACGGACCCCACATTCAAGAGTAATATTGCAGTAAGCAGCAGCCACAGAATTCCGGAAATTCACTACACTCAATCGATAGAACTTTTTTTTCTATGATAATTTTCTGATATACTTCCGTCGCAAATTGATAATAAGGAAGTTATTGAATTTAAAAATAAAAATAAAATCAGAGCACCTGTTGCCCCTACGCTGTTGCTCAACTTGTGTTCGTGCGTCTGCTTACCTCCCACGCACGAGCAACGTTTGAGTCAACCAATTATCGTTTGATGGGATGCGGGACATGTGTAATCAGTTACAACATGGAGCCATTATGTGCTCGGTGCGATTTCGATTTTATTGTATTATTTTATTCTAAAAATAAGAAAACTTTAGAGAACAGAGGAACCCAAGACGCATTCTGGTCCCTGACTCAGACCCTGATTCAGGGAAGGTAAGAAATACTGCAACAGTTATTTATATTCTCGTCGAGGCTGACCAATCGACTCTGGATTATTACAAGGCGTTTTGGGGTCTGGGGGCGGAGCCATCGGCTAAGGGTTAGGTAAGGTTTAGTTCGCTATATATATATATATGTGTGTGTGTGGGTGTGTGGGTGTGTGTATTGTGTAAGTTAGTAAGCTCAGAGTACACGCAATCGATAGAATTATTATGAGAGGGGGCGGGGGGGGGGGCTAAATTCAAAACGAGTGATTTCCGATAAAAACGAATGCCAGATTTGAACCAGTCGCATCAAAAACCATTAGAAAAAAAATCAAAATCTTTGGTTGCTGTAATCTGCAATTTTACCACCTAACCTTATTAATCCAACCGAATCTGACCTAACTAACCTTATTAATTAATCTAACCTAATCAGTCCTAATCTAAGCTACCCACACGGATAGTATTAGGGTGTTTAGTCATCAGGTGAAATAAACTACCCGGTCGGGTCTAATAATTATTTTTACAGTTTACGCCCCACAGTTGTTAGGAAATTTTTAAAATAGTGAAATCGATAGCTTAGACAATTCTAAGAAACTCTTCTTCTATACCTTTCCGCACCCAGATGAATATTAACAAGGTTGTTTAATTTATAAAAGAAAATAAGTAAATATTTACGAGCACCAGGCGCCACTGGGGGTCTGGGGGGGGGGGGGTTAGGTAAGGTTTGATAGGTTAGGACGCACGCCTTAAAATTTCGTTTTTTTCAGTGTTTTCTTGAAACGTGTTTTTTTACCTATGGTTTTCGATGAGATCCTAACGATTCTGACCTTCACTCATGCTGTAAGTCACTCTTTTTCCGGACCCCCCCCAAAAAAAAAGATTTCTCACGCTCAGAAACTAATCATTTTCGGCGGAAATAAGGGTCAGATTAGTTCGAATACCGCAGGGAAAACATATCTTTCACCATAAACGTTCTGTAGAGCGTAAACTGTAAATTTACCTTCTAATCTTCGCGTGATCTGTTTTGGTTGTCACTAAATAATGTGTAATATTTTTTCCTCAATAAAATAGCCTGTTCTGTTGTGACTCTTACAGACGTGGATCGCTTATGAGAAGTTGACCCCAGATGACCAAGTATAATGGGTAATGGGGTCAAGATTGTGATAACGACCACAGTACAGCAAACGACGCACCCTTCAGTCGCTTCTTCAACGTAACGAGGATGTCCAGATCTTAAAGGTGAACAATATACTGTCTAAATTTAGCGTTTGGTGATATATAGTGGAGTAGAATATGAAGCAAAAGTTGTTAACAATATGGTAAGTCTGGCTGTAATACAGGGGCGGATCCAGGGGGGGTCTTGGGGTCTGGGCCCCCTTTTTCATCAGAAAATTCCTATACTTTTTCTTTAATGCAGTACAGTATTGTACTCAGGTGTTTTTTAATAGTAAAAAATAATTACTATTGACCTCAGAATATATAATATCAAGTGCGCATGGCTTCAAAATTGCCCCTAAATGCCCATGATATTGGTCAAATTAAAAATATATATAAAAAATCTGGGAGGCTTACAGCGCACCCCCCGCCCCCCCCCCCAAAAAAAACCAGTTGGGTGGGCTCGCTTTGTTCGCCATATTCCCCCACCCACAACTTCTTGGACACAATAGGTGAATGTATACACACTAGGTGGATGTCGACACAGTGGAAGAGATATTAGGGATTAACCGTCACAGATAATGAAGACCACGATATAAATCTATTTATGATTTTCACAAAGTATTTAAAACCTATTAAGCGTAGTTTTATATGTGAGAGGGAAAACACTGAAGTAATTAGTGAGAATTGGAGCGTGATTTGCGGGTGAAACTATAACAGTTAAGAAAGTCAGAAGACGGGAGAACACGTGTGAGATGTCGAGTCTTTCGTTCGAGACTGAGAGAAAGTGATATTCAGTGCTCTTCCTCACCTGCCAGCTTTCTCTCTAAACCAGGGGTACACTCTTGTTGCTTGGTCAGTCTTCCTGCTCACTCCACCACATACTCACGCCTCCCATCCAGTTTAAAGTACTCAGTTATTGATATAAGACGCGAAAATGCTGCAAAGCGTTAATTATACAGGACTTTAAAATACTGCCAATAAGGGAAAAGATATTAGAGTTTACCGATTATTTACTGGGAGGACTCGAAACTACGTCAAAACTAGAAGACGACATATGATTGATACCGAAAACGTGAACTTAGGCTGCAGGCCAGTTGGGAAATGTTGCAGTGTGAGTGGATGAGTATCAAGTGATGTTAGGTTACATAAGACTAAGATACAGTGTGTGCTTCAACATTGTTATTGGTGGCGAGGTGATAAGTTTACCACTATAGAACCGTCCCGTTTATATTGTTTAAAGGATCATCGATTAAGATACACGATGGAAACAGGAGGTTCTTAAGGCAAGTGAGGAGTTTATTGTCGACCTAGGAGTACCGAGTAGAAACATGCAGTCAGTGGCGGCGGTGGTGGTGACGGTACTAGGCTATACTGTCGCCGCTATTCACCCACCTCGTACTAGTGACGATGGTGGGGACTCCCCTGACCACTTGCCTTTTGCTCACGGTAACGCCACTCTTACAGACCAAACGCACCCACGAATTGAGGTTCCTCGGCTCCATTTAGAGGACGTTTACCCCAGTAACACGACAGAGACTACTGTAAGAGGTCATCAGGCACAACCCCAAAATTATGGCTTTGTTGACCGTAGTTTTACCAGTGTAGAGGAAGGATCGGTGAGTTTAGTAGACGGTGATAAGCCAACACAACCTCTAAGTTATGACCGTATGGACCATAAAATCTTTACAATGGAGGAAAGAAAGTCTATCACTCCTGGACAGGGACGATCAGGTCGGCGTATACATGACGGTGAGCAGCTGCATCAACTTTACCATCGAGTAAAGCACCTAAGCGACTCCCTGTCCGACCACCGCCTTTATTACAACCTGCTGTCCCATCGGGCCTTCCACATGCTACTGAATGAGGTAAATAAGCTTCCTAAGGACGCCCCAGCCACTTATGTGACCCCAAACCTGACTGAGGCTGTACAGACGCTCCACTATCAGCTGAGTCTCGCTGAGCACATCGTTCACAACCTCACCTTCATCATCAGGGAGGCTGTCCCTCAATACTACGTCGACGATTATGTTGTTACGGGAATGATTAATGCACTACTGCCTACGTCACACACAGTGTTGAAGCTTTATAAGCCAAGTGATCAATATTTCTTTTCAACCTCAGATATACATGAACCAACCAATCAAAATATGCCTTCAACATCGGACTTTCATATGCCAATTAATAAAAAATTTCCGTTCGATGGTTTTTCTGCTCCCAGTATTCACCTCCCGGCTCAGTACCTTGTAGGGGACACGCCTCACCCTTACCATTACGTCATGCCTGACACAACCGCTGATGCTCCCCAGGACATGCTACAAACTTACACTGAGACCAAAGCCTCGCCGCCCTATCAACAGCCCCTAGATCAAGACTCACTAGTCCTTCAGTCCCCGTCGTTGGTTCATGCACAACCCGTGGGAGTTGGCGACGCGGAGGGGCCTGGAACACTGACGGGACCTGGGATACTTTTTGTGACTGACGAAGTATTACGCCCACAGGTGCATGAGACTGTCCCAGACAACATCACGTACAGTCCCATCACGCATGATAACACCACAGAGAAAACTTCGGGTAAGAACCACGCTCTATCTTATGACGGGCAGTTTGGTGACGGACGTAATGTAAAACGCTTGCAACCATTTCCTTTATCTCGGAATAAGCCGAAGGTCATAATCGAGACAGCCCCTCATGGAGGACAGAGAGTCGTGAGCGAGTCGGGGAGTATTTTCAGCCCTGGTGGAAGACCTGCTCCCGGCGTCACGTCTACCACTTTAACCTCGTTCATCGCTGCCATGAACGTAACCAACCACTTCTCACGATCTATCCAATTATCAGTCGCTACACAACACTCCCTTACAAACGCTACTGCGTCACTGAGGTCATCGTCAGCCCAGGAAGAACTAATTTATATAAAAAATCGTTCCCAGTTGTCTGTGAAGGAGCGCATGTTACTGCATCACCAACCACGGTCTCCACAGAGATCACAACCGATCACAGAGAAGCACCAGGATATAATAGAGGTTCAGAATGACTTTTCACTGTCAAACCTCGAAGGCGGTGTAACTCTGGAGGACCCCTTGATGACCACACAACCTCCCCTACCACCCTCGCCTACCACTAATATATTTCCTTCATTTACCGTAATATCTACACCAACATCACTTCCATCATCTGTGACAGGTTTAACGTCGTCTACTGTTCCGTCGTCGCAATCAACCACCCTCATGCTGAAAGTTACAGAGGATGAAAGTTATGTCTGGTCGTCATCAAGTAATCCTGGGGTTACGTCACATCACAACCAATCCTCACTGCTCCCTCTCCTCAGGCCTCTCACCTCAATTACTCACCCAGTCTTGCTGACGAGAGTTACTCCATCGCCCCCTGGCCATGATGATGCCTTTGGGGTCCACACAAAACCTCTCATAAACGCTTCAGACACAAAGTTGCCGCACGTTGCAACTCTCGCAGCTGGAGCTTCTCTGTGGGGGAGCGGCCAGAAGATTGGTCAAATGCATCGATCAGTGACAACCGGAACGCTTGACAATACCACCACAAGTCCTCAGGGGAACCATCCCCACTTGCTTCATTTTTTAAAATATTGGATGTATCCTCCTCAGGTTCACTCAGAAGCAACAGTACCGAACACAGAACTGGTGAAGGATTACAATCTAGCTTTCAGCTATGTTACATTGCCGCCGCCGATGCCCAAGTCTCTGTCTGTGCCACACTCTCTGATGCGGCGACCACAGCCTGAAGAAAATCATCCTCTTCCAGCAGCCCCACAGTGGCAACAAACACCAGTAAGCCGCTTAACAAACGTCCACAATAACATAATCTTCGACATACATTCACAGCCTTCAGCAAGTATTGATACATCAGATGTAAATTATCATAATATAAACATTGACAACAGTATTGCCGTGGACGGCCAAGAAGAACAAGGTATTGAAGTGTACACAGTGGAAGACCAGGCAGAGCCGATATCCTCACCACCACCGCCCACCAACCAAATGTCTACATACCCACCCAAAACCCACGTGCCCACACATCCAGCTACCACATACGTGCCCACATATCCATCCACAAACAACACGTACACACACCCAACAACCTCTTCCTCACTCCATAGCCTGACTTTGCATTTGAACCTGTATGCTCCCAGTACTCCTGCACAAGACTCTACAGAAAGTTATGTCAACAAACTTGTCGATGACAATTTCTACGACTACCCAGAGAACCAGAACAAAAGGCGGCGCACTCCGAGGATGGACGACGGTCGGAAGAAGATCGACATCTCTCTAGATAAATTCAATAATGGTGAGTTAGAGGGTGAGGCTAGGGAGGGGTTGGGAAACAGTGTCAGTGGTCGACCAATACTAAGGTTGCCGCCCTTGGCCCCCACCCTCAGGCCTGGTGCTACCCCACAGCGGCACCCTCCACCAGATAGGCCTCTCCCTCCTTTCCCTCCCAGGGCTCGTCCTGGCGTCTTCTCAGACTTTCCTCGACGTCCGGGTACTCCTGCACCGCCTTCACCTGTGGCCATAGACCCTGTTAGTCTATTAATGTCTCAGGGTGGGACAGCAGTGCCGTTTATCACCACCACGGCCGCCCCAGAACCATCTCGCCAGCAGATATATAACGCTCTTGCACTGGTGGCAGGCCTCCATGGCAGCTTTAATTACGGGGAAAGCAGCGAGCAGCCGACGCCCGTCATCAGCCTTCACACCACCCAGACCCTTGGGGGTGAGCTCCAGGTGTCAGAGTCACAACAAACACCCGGACAAATTAAGCAGCCCGGTACTACCATCAGCGGGGCTGTTTCACCACCCGCTCCACCACCCCCTCTAGGCCCCCTTAGCATCCTCACCAACCCTTATCCAGTGCCTGTGTCTCAACCTAATGTAGGATATCCTGGATATATTGGTTATCCTGGCCGCCCATCCTATCCTTACGCACAGTATCCTCAGTACCCACCTTTCCCGCCGCCGTATTCCTACCCATACCCGCCACCATCACAAGAATGTCAGGGGGGCGGAGCCTCCACCAGCACCTCTACGGGACCAGGGTCAGCGGCGGCTGCAGCGGCGGCAGGAGGCGGATGTGGGGGCGGTGGTGGGTCATCGTCAACGTCTACAGCGGTTAATCAGAGTGCGGGGGCGGTGCCGGGGTCTGCGTCTGTGGGTGGTGGTGGCTCTCAGGTGCACCTAGTTAGTGCTCCATCTCCTCCTTCGGCCTCACCCCCGGCCCCCCCTCCCCTCCTCGACAAGGGCTCCTCAGTAAACTCGCCAGCAGCGCCACAAGATGAGTACGGGCGGGTAGTGGCGGCGCTCAACACCTTGATGGCTTATCTGAGCCGCAACAGAGATCAACCCGCAGGTAACTACGCACACAGCCAATGATTGTTCTTGAGATATACTGTTAAGACTTCCTATGTTAATGTATAAAATGCTATATGGTGTAGTGTGGAAATATCTGAGGGTAGTGGACTGTGTATCATTTGGGCGCTCGGTAAATGTGCAGGTCTGGCAGTGTGTGATTATATTCTACTGTACAGTGGGAGGGGGACATCTGGAAGCCCTGTACTGATGCTGGTTCTAGTGCAAATGGGTGTTGCTAGGTAGTGGTGTGCGCTACAATAAGTCAGTCAGTACGAGGCATGAGGTAAAGCTCACGATTGTTGTTCCCGACGGTGTAGTTGTAGTGCAGTTAATACGTAATGAGTGACAGCGGAGTTTTTTTGGTACAAGGATAGGGCTTCTGTTTCAGGTGCCACACCACCACATCCACCTGGCCCTGTGACCCACCTCTTGACTATCCAGGCACCGAGTGTGGTGTCTCCAGTGAGGGGACTGCCACCACCCATAACCATCACCACCATACCACCACCTATCCGTCGCCCCTTTCTTGACCAGCTGAACGGTCTCCTGGGTATGACCTCCCTCCCAAGGCCTCCAGCCCCGCCAGTAATATCCCAGCCACAGTACCCCGTCTATACAGGACACATTGGCCAGGGTCAACACGGCCAGGTTGCTGCGGTTCAGCCTTGTACTGTGTGCTAAGAAAAGGTCATTATTATTATTATAGTACCGGATGAGTTACCTGTGACAACTTTCAGGGCCACACACCCACAGCCCCTAACGGAGATCTTAACATTACAGTCACCACCTCGGCTCCGTCATCCTTCAGTGTCAGCGTCGACGTGTATGTACCCATCCTGTCGGAGATCCTGGGAGGCCGTCGAACCACCACCCCAATACCCGCCGCGGATGACACCCACCGCCCAGCCGTCCCTCAACAAACACAAACCCCGGCACACGTAGGTCTACAGTCCCAGGATATCCAGTCACTGATAGAGATGGGTTATACCTACGGTGGCTAATGGGGGCCCTGATAAGAGTTGAGTTAGTTATATCTATGGCAAGGAATATAGTACGTATTTCTGTTAGCCTTAATGCTGTCGTTTTCTGCTGCCTCTCTGACAACAACAATAACGATAACATTAATAAAGCTTAATAATGATGTTAGTTACGATAATAATAGTGATAATGACGAATATTCTGATAATAATGATAATAAGAATTAGCTTTAGATATGGGACACAAATAAGTAGAGATACGGTCAACGCTCCTTGGACACTAAGCAATATATGTCATCTACTTGTGGGTCATTATAAGTAACTAGTTCATCACTGGTGAATGATGATCTACATTATGAATTACGCCAGAATAACAACATGAAAAATCACTATATAATGCAAAGAAAAAAGTGTTTGTTTGTGCATGTGTATTGTGGTTTGTGTGTGTAGGTGTGTGTTTGTGTATTGTTGTTGCGTGTGTACGTGTGTGTGTGTGTGTGTGTGTGTGTTATACAGGAGGTACTACATTTTAGGAGTTATTGTTATTGTTATTATTGTTATTTATTTAGTGTCGTTAAATCACATTACCACTAATCTTCATCCTCTTCCTTACTGTTGTTATTTATTATTTATTTTCACTGTATCATATCCTTTATTCTCTTCATAGTTACAGTATTATAACCTATCGTCTGTCGCCTTACTGTATCATGTCCCCAAATTATTCTGTAATGATGTAATAAGTCACTGTAATAGTAATTCATTCTGTATGTAACTGTTTCTTGTTCTGTTATTTTGTTATTTATTTCTGTTTTGTTATTTATTTAGTGTTATTTAACATTATTGAATGCATAAATATTTTGTTAGTTTTTAACCTTATTATTAATTTAGATTTATTACATTTATTTCTCTCTATCCCTGATTTCCTTATTTTTATCACTAGTTTAGTTTTGTATACGGAATAAATTACCTATTGAGCGTTGATTTGTGTACATACACCTGGATACACGTTTACCTGTTGCTGTGTTGACAACGGAACCAGGTACAGTAACACTCAGGTTTTTCACACCTGCCAAAGTTGTATCAGTTGTGTCAAAATATATATATATATACTGATGGTTGACGTTACAGTTTAGTTTTACTTTTATCCTCTTCACCACTGATCGACTCGTTGGTCACTTGGGCGGTCGGTTACATATCTGTTACGCACTGTTGGCATGTACTGGCTCCTGAATGTATCTGTACCTCACATTCGGTGCTGTCACAACACTCTCTGGCAGATTGTTCCAAGAGTTCACAACTCTCATTCGAAAAAGTTTGAAAATTTTCTGAACTTTTGTGACTTGTTCAATCTTAAGCTGTGAGGGTTGGTGAGGGCAGCCTGAAACTTTATAAGTAGAGGACCGTGGTCGCCAACCCTCAGACACGAGGACTGGTTGGGTGGTTCTTGTGATCTGCTTCCTTGAATTATTCCTTCTTCCTCCACCAGATGTGAATTATATAAAAACACAAACATTTGATTCCATTGAAAAATTACACCCAGCCTTACATCACACAACCACTACTATCACCACCATACCACAACCGCTGCCATCATCACCACCATACAGCCACTACCACCACCACATGCAACCACTATACCACCACCACTACTCCAACCTTTAAATGAAATTGTTTTGAAAATAAAGGTCAAACACTTTATTAACACTAATATGAAATTAATTGAAAGTTTTGTGCGACTCGTGGCTGTGATCACTGTCCCTCTGATCCTTCATCACGTCTACATTTATTATTATAATTACAATTTTCGTTTCTTGTCACCTTAATATAAGTGACAGACGGCGGACGGGGGTATATATATATATATATATATATATATATATATATATATATATATATATATATATATATATATATATATATAAAACTTTATATGAGTCAATTGTGTGAAATATCCTTCTCTCTACACACACACACACTAGCATCAATGCCTCATAGGTGATCTTGTGTCAAGAGACTGAGATGTTTTGTTGTGATGTGCTTCAGTTTAGATAATATACTGAACCACCGTGGGACACACACTAGTCTCGCTGGCAGGAGTAAGGACATATATTACGTGGTCTGGACTTATCGGATACTATACATGTGTTTGTTTGTCACAAAAACCGAAAGGCTTCTGACACCCACTTTAAACGCCCCCTTCACACACAGACAAAAAAGAACCTTGGAGTCTTTGTATTTAAAAATTCTGAAAGAAGCGATGGTGTCAAAGGTTTAACAGGTTCTGGTAGCTGGTGTGAGTGTGTCTATAACCAATATATACCAGTTGTGGAGGTGATGTAGGTCACTTGCCCAGCTGACGCCCAGCAGGTGACACAGTCCTCCCTTACCTACCGTTACCAACAGGTGAGTGAGGCTGTACTGGAACACAACAAACCATTTCATTGCTGCTTTTAGAATAAATAACAAAATTATATTATCAGGCAGTCGCGTGAATACAGCGCTCACCTCCTGCCCTAAGGGTCTCTGGTTTGATCCCGGGGCACTCCCAGTCCACCCAACTTTAAATGAGGATCTAACCTTATAATCAGAGAAGTGAAGGCGGTTGTCACGCAGTGCCGACCACGCTGCCCCCTTGTGTACTGAAGGCTCTAGTATACACTATACTGTATCCACACTAACGGCAGTCAGTTAGGCCTATGTGACCCATTTATCAATCAAACCACCCCTGTCTCTCCCCCCCTGCACACAGGAGCAGTGATGTGTAGGTGTTGGGGACGGCCGGGTATCTGGGTCAGTGTGGCGTGGTCGTCACCCCCGCTGCTGCTCACACTACCGATGTTGCTGGTTCACCTGTTGAGTATGTTACAATTTATGGAAGTTAAGATGTTGCTTTATGGATGACAAGAGCTATTATTAAGTTATGTACAATTAAAATACTTAAATCTCTCTCTCTCTCTCTCTCTCTCTCTCTCTCTCT